CTTGCTATCCGTACAAGTGGACACGCTATGGTACACTCTGACAGCCAACTGTATAGTATTCTATGCTGACGTTGTCATGCCATGTGCTAAGCTTGGCACTGGATGGTATGGCCAATTGCAGAAATGATGTCACCTGGAGATCGGGTTATTGGCTAATTAGGGAAAATGATGTCACTATGGCGTGCCGAGAGTACTGCCTTCAGCTGCAAGGGCGTTGTCACGGGTGACATCCTTTTTGGTGGATACGGCCCATACCGTACTACGTGTTGGCCCACCGTACTGTACTGTACTGTAGAGAGTCAGTACTAAAAGAAAGAACGATGAGACTGCGCACAGTACTCTGCTTGAACTTTACAGTACGGTACTGTACGGTGTAGCTTGTCCACTAAAAAGATGATGTCACCCGTGGCGGTTCACTGGTGAGCTGTGGGCACTAGTTGAGGCATGGAATGGCGACATCATTTTTCAATAAATTCATCGCTCAGATTGACCTCATGAACAATATCATTGGTCACAGGACTAGTTATGGGCAACTCTAGTTTACAGTAATATTAAGGTTAAGCAACAGTTAGCCTGGTTCAACTGAAGCCAATCAGGTCATCCGATTGCATCGCTCTGTAGTAGCTGATCTGGAGCCATATCTGACTGATTGCAAATGTTGCAGTGAAGTTGGATAACGACAACGACTGCGCAAGTGCACATACCAGTGGCAGGTACATACTAACAGTACTATACAGTATACAGTACTGTACGTCATCATCAAAAATATTTCTGACCGTAAAGCGTCAACATCAATCCCAGAAATATCTTGTGCAATAGTCGACTTTGCATGCAGTATAGCTAATAATTCTACTAATAATTCGCAAGACCTACAGTACACCGTAACAACAGTCTAATAGACACTAACTAAAAGCCGTCAAGATTAAGCAACACTTAGCCTGGTTCAACTGAAGCCAATCAGGTCATCCGATTGCAACGCTCTTTAGCAGCTGATCTGGAGCCATATCTGATTGATTGCAAATGTTGCAGTTAAGTTGGGTAAAGACAACGACTGCGCAAGTGCACATACCAGTGGCAGGTACATAGTAACAGTACTGGACGGTACGTCATCATCAAAAATATTTCTGACTGTAAAGCGTAAACATCAACCCCAGAAATATCTTGTGCAATAGTCGACTTTGCATGCAGTATAGCTAATAATTCTACTAATAATTCGCAAGACCTACAGTACACCGTAACAACAGTCTAGTAGACACTAACTAAAAGATGTCAAGGTTAAGCAACACTTAGCCTGGTTCAACTGAAGCCAATCAGATCATCCGATTGCAACGCTCTGTAGCAGCTGATCTGGAGCCATATCTGACTGATTGCAAATGTTGTAGTGAAGTTGGATAACGACAACGACTGCGCAAGTGCACATACCAGTGGCAGGTATATAGTAACAGTACTGTACGTCATCATCAAAAATATTTCTGACCGTAAAGCGTAAACATCAATCCCAGAAATATCTTAGGCAATAATCGACTTTGCATGCAGTATAGCTAATAATTCTACTAATAATTCGCAAGACCTACAGTACACCGTAACAACAGTCTAGTAGACACTAACTAAAAGCCGTCAAGATTAAGCAACACTTAGCCTGGTTCAACTGAAGCCAATCAGGTCATCCGATTGCAACGCTCTTTAGCAGCTGATCTGGAGCCATATCTGATTGATTGCAAATGTTGCAGTTAAGTTGGGTAAAGACAACGACTGCGCAAGTGCACATACCAGTGGCAGGTACATAGTAACAGTACTGGACGGTACGTCATCATCAAAAATATTTCTGACTGTAAAGCGTAAACATCAACCCCAGAAATATCTTGGGCTATAGTCGACTTTGCATATAGCTAATAATTCCTAATAATTCTACGAATGATTAGCAATCGCAAGACCTACAGTACATCGTAACAACAGTCTAGTAGACACTAAAAGCCGTCAAAAAGAAATGGAGAATTAACTACTTGTTGTTATACATCGATGTAGTATAGTATTTGCTCATCAAGCCTACTCCCGCTTACCACCAACATAACACTTGTGTACAGTACACGGTAGCACACCCAACTCTGCCCAAGCTCGCCTTCAATATTCAGAATACTGTAGTTCTTAATCCATTGGGGGTAAATGGCAATGCATCAGAAAAAGGAAACCAGCCTTAGCTGGTTCATGTCTGCATATCTCATGATGTATGGATTATTCAAACTTATCAAATACTTTTTAACATTAAGGTATTACTATCCTGCTTCTACAAGCCATCTTCAGAAACGGATGAGACCTATCGTGCGAAAAAACTTGCAAGATCAAAAAGTAACCTTATGGTCTTATTTAAGATCCAATTTTTTAAATAAGCAAAATCTTCTCTTTCTTGGAGAAAGGTTTAATTTTGCCTCAATAAACTTTCTTAAAGTTGGACAACAAGCTCCTAAAGGACGATTATTTACACTTGATCAGCAACAAACTGATTTACAAAACATTTTTAATCAAAGCGCCAAAAAAATTCATGTCTTAAACTTCGGATCCTATTCTTGACCTCCATTTCGATATGAAATCGATCGCTTTATCGATCTGGCTGGTCGATTTAGTAATCGTGTTCAATTTAACACTATTTATATTAAGGAAGCTCATGCCGCCGATGAATGGGCACTACCAGTAACGAATGAAAATCTTGGCGTATGCTTTCTTCAGCCTAAGAAATTAGAAGCTAGAATAAACATAGCTAAACAATTTATTAATCGTTTCCAATTTCAATTACCATTTTTTATCGATTGTATTGAAAATGACACGATGAAAGCATACGACGCTGTACCAGAACGATTATATGTAGTCGATGACGGAAAAATCGTTTATTCAGGCGGTCCAGGTCCATTTGCTTATAGCCTAGATGACATGGAACAATTTTTAGAGAAATACGTCGTAGAAGGACAGAAATCGTCGTAAGATTCGGATAAACTATACGGATAATTTAAATATTTATATGTGTCATTCGAGTTACTACTAATTGCAATAGATAGCATATACATTACAGGCTTGGTTAAATTGTCCTTTCAACTTCAGTAACTAAATTAGTGATGGCCTTAAGAAATTCCAGGGTTGTCGTACAATGTTGAGCTGTATGACGAAACAAGAAATTGTATTTAAAGCGTATTACGCATAGGAAAATAACTATTAATTATTATTATTTTAAAATTTATATCTTGTAACGTACTAATGGATGTGCAATGCAATGCACATTATGCATTCGTGGCTTTGTTGGTGATTAGATAGCTTTTACGTGATATAATGAAGTTATTTACTTAAAACCAAACTGGACTTGGATTGTAATAACCGAAGATCAATTAATCATGTACAGTACATACGTATA